TATATGAAATAAAATCATGCACGTTGGGAACATCGGAAAACGTAATATACTCGATCATGATGATTGTCATATTTTAACCGCGTCAGCTTTACAAAAAGAAACATACTAGAAAAGTATCTTAAAGTTCTACAAATGTTGACATCACGTTTTATTACTTCAACATTTGCTATGCAAATGAGAACTTAAAAATTGCACTAATGGAAAAAAAACGGAAAAAAACTGACGTCATTACGCGCGTATAACAATATTCATGAAAGTCGTGCTACGTAAAAACAAAATTAAATCACGATTAACCTTTCGACAGTAATTTTGCTCCGATGTCTTCGATACAATGAATAATACGCGTCACTGAGATACAGAATTAATTATTATAGTATAGATAAACGCGGAAGATATTTTACGACCTTCGAAATATGATAGTATTTTTTAAACTAGCCATAGAAATAAAAAAAAAATACGTATCTCAATTACAGAGATAATAAATGATAAATGTTTCTCTGTGATATCGCATGGAATGGGTGGAATATTCCTTTAGTATTTGGACTTCTATTTTCATTAGTCCTCAGAGGGAACATCGTCATATTTTTCAAGAGATTAAGGCAAAGCAATTTACATTCTTCGAAATAATTCTATAAATTGCGAGTGACTCAGTAAGATGAGTCTAGTTATTCTTATCAAAGATATACTCGCGAACTGATGCCTAACATAAACGTCAACTTCGTTGATAAACATATATATATGCCTACGTACTAAATGTGTCTGACTCAGTTCTAAAATTCAGCGAGAAATTGCCGCGGACAAAAAGGTTTAGAAAAGAATAGGAGGGACAGAGAAACCGCATTAGCTGATAATACAATGTGAAAGGTGCAGTTAATACAACTGCAGTCGGCTGAAGAGATGTTGACGTTGATCGGTGGCCTCATCGTTGCTTATTTCGTCTACATTCTGATTTCAAGGAAAAATGGTAAATATCTGTACTAAATTTCAATGTTTATTTTTTTAAAATATACTCGGTATATTCTACTAAATTCTACAAGTTTCTATAATTTTTATCATATATGTTTTAACCAAATTTTAATTCTATCCTGTCTTATGTTTTATGAATATAGGTTTAAAAATATATATATAAAATTAAAAATATTAAAAATAATCGAAATAAAATTAAATGAAATCAATTATAATTTTTCATGAATGTAAAAAAGTAACAACTAACTCCATTGAATTATTCAACACCAAAAATAATTATTCACATTATATATGTACATATTTAGTCAATCTTTGCTATCGTAACATATTGTTTTATCAATTTTGCAATGAAAATGCGTCATATTAGTGTACTATTATCTTTCCGCCGCAAATAGTTCCGATTTCTTATCTTCTTATCTCTAAGCAATCGCACGTAGAGAAACGATTAACAGCAATGGTTATCACTGGTTTGCAATATAAAGAAAACATTAACCTGACAATTACCGCATGTAGTATATCAATTATATTACTATTTTTAGAGCGAAAAATTAAATATGTACATATATATTATAAAATAATATATTAGTGTAATAAAGGAATATACCTATATTAATTTTTTATCGTCTAAACGTAAAGCGATTTAATATTAACTATTTAGGAAAATACATGATTTCTCATTTTCATAAATACAGAAACATCGTATTTATTCTACACATTTAATTATCTGTATCTTTATTTTTTGCAATAAATAGCAAATGATGAAAATTGTAGGAGAAAGAGATATTTAATATTTATTATTATTATTCCACACTTTTCACTTCTCCCATACATATACATATATGTGTACATATTCTATTTAATATTATATTCCACTTTCTTTTTTCAAACTGTATTATTCCCACTGAGACACTTCCAAACGAATTTTTATTTTTCAATTATTGTATATTAGTAATCCTAAATTTTCGTATGAAAACGCGTCGTTCGCACGACTTGCAATCCTCTCGCGAGATATCGTTCTCTCCACGTAGAGAACTGGTCCAGTAACCTCATCTTGAGATCGTCAAGTGCGATCGACCATTTATAACATAGCAATCGACAGAAAACGAAAAAGAGGAAATGTCTTGGCGCAACGGTTTTACTACTTCCGTTATCCGGATTTTTTACGCGAAAGATTCTCGCGCACTGTATTAAGGTGTCACATTGAATGAACGTTGGATTTCTCCGGCAGAGTTTCCCACATAAAGCACACTCGTTATCGCATCAGATGCGGTTTTAACTACCGAATTATTCGCATATAAATGAGAAAACCTCTATCTGTAAACCAAATTTGTGTTGTATAGAGCATTATTCTAATAGCATTAATAATTGACGCTGCGTCGTGAGAAAGCAGTCCTTAATTTTCTTAAATTCAAAGCTCGTAAAATAAAACAATAAACTTTGTTTGCTATTTTACGATTACTCCTAGTCGAAGTTAAATCTATTATAACACGAGGAAAGTTGCACAGAGAGAATTAATTTAGCCCGCAGCAAGCCAGTAAAATAATGTGTCGGATAGAGAATTTATGCAGATCCTCAAGCTATTCGCAAGACTCGATCCGTTCACGTGATTATAATTTAACGTACAATTTATATGGAAAAAAGATGTCAACGTAACCTTCAAGATCACTGACACATAATAAATCAAAATTGTTAACATAGAATTCTTAGATATTTTCTTCCATTTAATCGATCATAGTAGGAAGACTTGATTATCACGGATTAATTATGCGCAATTATTATTGCTGTACGTCACGCTACCGCGACAGGTTGTTCCATATAATCGTACGAGGAAAGCAAAAGATCGATGAAAAGCTGGTAACGCTGTTACTGATTTATCGTCATTAATAGATGTCAAGAGAGAAGGCAATTTAACTTGCTGAAGAAACTTCTTCAACATGCCGGCTAATAATGCTAATGTTTTAAGGCGGTTGAATCGCGCGCAAAATACCTGCAGTCGGCCTTCACCTTCTACGACGTGAGATCAAGGCTGAATATGTCCTCGACAAGGTAGATCCTCGATTATGTATATGCAAGAAGTGACTGTGTGAAACATGAGCGTTATACCAAGAGAAAGAAAAAGAAAGAGGAGACGCGCACGCGATGTATTTATTTGCAAACAATCCAGTGTTGCTCGAGGATTATTTACCGTCTATACAAGATCTTGCGAGCAATGTATATCTTTCCAACAAAATATTCTTGATATTATATTGCAATGAATTTTTATAAATAAAAGATTATCTTACATTAAAACTTGAAAAGGTCACATTTCGAAAACAGAAAAATTACTATTTTTACATTTTATTGATAATGGAAATTTTCCATGTATTTTGATCAAAAATTTTTTCATGAATTTAACAATTTCTTAAAAATCATATGTAGTTACTCAAAAATTTCAGCAATTATTTTTGACATTCAAAATGATAAAAGCAGCTCTCTAAATTTTTTAGAGTGAAATCTTACTCCAAAAGAATTGAAATACTGTCACTATTGAAAAAGAATGAAATGAATTTTCACTCTTGAGTAAGTGTGACAGATTTTCATTCTTTTGAAATGGGATTTCACTCCAAGAAATTTAGAGGAAAAAAAAGATTTCTTTTGAATTGATTTTTTTTTTAACGGATGAAAAGTTCCTAAGTTTCCACGAGATAAAATCTTTTTGGAATATATGGCATTAAGAAAACATTTATCTTTCAATTCAAATTTTCAAAATTTAGGAAAACATTTTCTAAATATTCTGCTTTTAAAGATCAACTATTAAAATTAAAATTCACTTAACATTTTCATTCAAATTAATTAAGATAATACGAAAAGTATGCAGAATTTTGAATTAAGACATTACTTAAATGATTTAAAACCCTATAGAATTGAGACCACCGTTGACGTCCAGAATGTCAGGTGAAAATCAGACGAAGTAAAAATTACGGACCTCGAGTTTCCCGCGGAAAGAGTTCAGGAGGTCGGTAAATTTCACCTGACGGCCGCGATCCACGTCGGACAAGATACGTAAAAGATGAAGAGAGAGAAAGAGAAGGAGCGGAGAGACGGGATGAAGTCGCGAGAGTCGTCGACGAGAGGAGTGGCCGTAAGGATGCATCATCGGCAGCAAGGTCGCGTCGGAGAAATTACCGCGGAGAAGTGACCGGCTGTATCGCCGTTATCTCTTGCCGTGACTCGATCATCGCCAAAGAAAGTGCGGTGCAACTCGCGTTTATACTATACCCCGTTTTACTATAACCGTTCGCAAGGTGCGCTGGATCGTTCACGATAGAGTGTCCGACAGTCACTCCGCGGATACCATGATCGAGCCATGCAATTGCCAATCCATCGCGGATCGATAACACTCGGGGACCAGTGAGAGAACACGATGTAAAATAGTTCTAAAAGAAGATTATAGAAATTGCGATTTCTTAATCAGATGAAAATTTTGTGTTCTCAAATAGAAGTGGTCTTACATTCTTATGGACGTCTTATATCAATAATGAAATGTGAATATATATGTATATGTATAGCTTATAAGGATAAAACACATTGAGGAAAACATGATCTATATTGCCTCATGGCCTTTGGTTAATTCATCGAAATCAGTACGCGTTTAAGCGTCTAATAATTAAAAAGCTCTTATGTTCCATTAATATAAATTAACTTCAATCGCAGTTTGCTTACTCTTCATTTTTTTTAGTTCTAAAAATTAGAAAAATATGAATAAATTGTAAATATGAATAAATTGAATCGAGATTGAATGTAGATTGAAGTTAATCTGCATTGTTAAAAGTAAACATTAAGATTTTAGTTTATTATAATCATAAAGGAGTTGGTGAACGCGAGGATAGTAATGTTAAGTATAATATTTGAATTTAACGGTACAACTGACTCGTAGAAGTACTTCTACATCACACGCAATAATTGCAGATGCTACGATCAACAGAATATATTCTCATCATCGATCATTGCAATGGCAACGTTGATATCGACAATTTTCCAACTTAATGTTTCAGATAAACCGTCTACGGATCCGCCAACTATGGCGCATGCGGCGCTCAGAGAGATCGTCGAGAAAGCCGTCGAGGAAGCTCGGAAGTTGCCAGGATTAAATGCATCCGAGGACACAAAGCAACTTCAAGAAGAACGCGCCGTCACGGATGCTAGTTATGAGGATCTCCTCGCTACCGCGATACTCAATAAGGTTGTTTGAATTTAAGAAAGATTTCCTCAATTAATTATGAAACAATATTGTCGAAGCATTTTAAATTAATGAAAATGAAATTTAAAAAAAAATGTTATATTAAATTATTTAAAATATATTTTACAAAAAATATATTTTAAAATTAATTATAAAGAAAAGAACTTCTTTCTATATTCTCTACATGAAATATAAATTCATACTCGAATGTATAATTAAAAATTAAAATGTGCGTTATATTTCTATAATTTATAATTTGTTACTAATTAAAAATTCACCAATGAAGCACTGTACTTAAATTAAACAAATCTTTAATTAAATCGAATTTATTATGCGCATTTTAGGTCATCGAAAAATATCAAAGAGAACGAGTTGACGGTAACAGCAACGTTCTACACGACACAAATTCGCCTAAAGCAAAATATACCGCAAGTACGTACAATTTACTTAACGTATTATCGCGCATGAAGCATCGAGAAGTCGTATTTACGAAGATGATGCTCCTTTTTCAGATGACAGCAAGCATGGCCTTGAGGAAGATGTGGCGAGTTACGCATCCGACCATCTTGAGTGCAACGGTGATCATAGTGCATCGATCAGGCGGAATGAAGATCATCATAAACCGGTGTCCTTTACGGTACGGATGCCGATTACAATCGCATTTATATATTCTCGCATATCACAGTACAGAATCAATGAAGTGCAATGAAAGATGAAAAAAAATTTGCATATCAAATTTAAATTCTTCAACACAGCATAATCAATATAATAAAACATAAATTGTATATTATATGCTCTCTAAGGGAGGGAATTGAATCCTGTTACAGATGGAAGAAAGAATCGAAGAAGTAACCACGATCACGTCGGACGATGATGAACTTCGAGACAACGGCACCTTGGAATTCGGTTGCAGTCGACGCGTACCGTTTCCAGAATATGGGATGGACATCATTGACCGTGAGTATCTCGACTTTCACTTTGAATGTCATTTACATATTTAAAAAGTACGCAGAATTATGTCTAGAAGTAAAATATTCTGTTGAATTATGCAATAATATGTCAAAATTAATTAACTAAAATCTCGTTGACTCACAATCGTTCTTAATTTAAAAATATATTTCAATATTCAGACAATTATCTAATCTTCTTCAATATTTTTTTCTCTTTTAAAAAAATGTAAAAAATAAAATATTTCATGTGATTGTTTCCGACGATAAAGCAAACAACTTTGTAACATCGCACGTTACATAATTAATTATCTAAGTCTTTTATAATAGCTCCGCGAGAATTACCCTCGCCATCGCCATCATCATCGTCAGATTCTTCAGATTTAAATCGCAACGAATATCCGCCAGTCAGAACGAAACGTCACGCTGGTCACACGATAGATATAGTCTCGCCAATCGAGTCTTGGGAGGATAATTGGCTATTCCAGAAGAAGAGGAACTCCCGATCGCAGCCAGACGCGGTTGCTATGTTAGTACCGAGCTCTAACGCATATTACAAAGCTCTGATTGGCGATCGGAATGCTGAGGATACGTCCGATTTATCTGAATGTTCCTCTACGAAATCTGACGAAGAGATCGAAAAGGAACTGATGGAGGCGATCAGCAACGTGATTCCGAGAACTCCTAGGATCTCCGAAAGCGATGTGATAAATGATCAGATAGAAAATCATCAAGAAGGAACAAGCAAGATGCAATTCGAAAAAGACAAGGTCGATATCTGTCAAGTGATAAAGAAAACTGAAAAGAACGCAACTGTTTGCGAGAGTTATGATGAGAAAAATGATGAGGAACACTTGAAGACTTCAGAAAAGAAAACAGCCAAACGTGAAGATGATAAAGAAAAACGAAATGAAAATTTATTTATGTTGATAACAGTAGCAAAGGGAAATGACGAAGCCAAAGAGAAGCCTAAGGATACAGTCGAAAGCAGCAAAAAGATAACCGCAACCGCGATGGAAAGTTCTGTGCAAAAGGAAGTAAAGATGAAATCTGAGAAATCGAGTGAGAGGAGCGATCGAGGGGAAAACGTCGCGGACGAAAATGAAGAGCAACGAGAGAGCGAATATACCGAACATTACGACACCGCGATCCAGAGACATTTGGACAGTTTAACGAAGATTGAAGTTTACTCTGGAGAGAACGAGACAATCGATGGAATGAGAAAAATGACAGACGAACAGCTTAGAAAATCAGAGACCAATTCGATCGAACAACCAAAAAGGTAGGAGTCTCGAAATATCTCTCTCTTTTCTTCTAATAAATAAAGTAAAAGAATAAAATTACAGTTTATGTTTTAAATTTATTTTAACTAACAATTACAAGATTCACATAAAAATATTATTAGGCACACTAACATCTACTTTGAATATGGTCTTCTTTGCTTACTTGTGTTGAATATTTCTCGATTGATTTTCACTTACTATTGTTAAATAAATACATATGTATGTGTGTATATATATATGTATATGCGCGCGCGCGAATTTATATATACGTATATATATCGTGAAAGGTATTATTTAAATTTATATTCACCTGATTTCTATTCTTTAAATTTTTTTTTTAATTCTTGTATGTTTGCAAGAATAGATAATAAATATAGCGTTAATCAAATATATTAAATACTTATATTTTTTTCATTTATCTTAAATTTATTATCTACATTGTTACCTATTATTATAAGTTGAGTTCTTAAAACAAAGGATAATTGACAGCAAATACCATAAATCAATTTTTTGAGTTAAAACTTAAATAATAGTTAATAAAGTGCGTAATATTTTTGGCCAAGATTGTATAAATGAAAGTTTCGATAATATAAATGAAGGTTTCAAAAGAAACACGTAATAAGTATAATAATAATTCCAGTTTCGTACGCAACTTGGTATTGCATGGCGAGTTTCATATCCTGAGTTTCATACAATTCTTTTCGTAGTTTCGCGGCGTAGTGGCACGGTGTGTCTCTTTCATAATTCTTTTCCGATTTTATGCAGTGAACATTCAGAAGCCGAAGTCCACCAATTGTTTTACGCAACAATCGACAAGAATCACGTCAACATGATAAGTGAAAATGATCCATTAAGCACCCCTCCACGACCAGGTAACTTTACTATTTGCGATGAACCTATACGCACCATATGTAATAATTTCTTACATTCTTGAATTTATAAAAAAGAACAAAACAGAAATTTTATTTTAGCTTTCTGATGTATAAAATAATTTATTAATATAAATTTTAAATATAAATTTTATATTATTAGGTGTTGGAATTAATTCGTAGCGTTTTTAATGAAAGAATGTTATTTATTTCACATGAGCATTAAAAAATACATTAATGAAAGTACTTCCCATCACTTGTAAAACGCTACGAATTAATTCCAACACCTAATAAGAAAATGATAAACACATATCTGAAGAAATTATTACATAACATGTAATCGAATATGCGAGATTCTGAGAAAAAATTTTATGCTTCAAAGAATTATGTTATATAAAGTAGAGGATAACGATAGCGTTTAAATCTCTATTTCTTTGAAATATAAAAAACAAAATCTTAATAAACTCTTAAAAAAATTTTTAATACATTAAAACGCGAGAAGATTCATGAATATATAATGAAATACTCATGCACATCATGATGAGCACATTGTCAATATGACGGTGAATAAATATCGGACAGGCACAATAGCGGAACGCGAGCACAAAAAATGGGAAAATGCTCCACCGATCGAAAACAATCCCTACAGCGAGGAGAGCATACGAAAGCGATGTTTGGAAAGGCAATATTCGAGAAATTCGGATATTTCAGGGTAAGAGAAATTATGTAAAAAATTTTGCGAATATCACTGTAGACAGAAGCTCTCAGCTCGATTTTTCACTTTGTTCAGAGCCCATTACGAGTTAACAAAACTGAATGAAGTAAGTCTGGAGACACTGACACCTGGTCGACCGGACATCAAACGGTAACTTTTGTTAATCTTTCCGAAAGCTATAAGAGAAATAATTAAACGCTATATCAAAAAATCAAGCGAATTTATTTCTTTTATTAGCATTTTTGCATTAAAGTTTTTGCTAAAGTTTATTTGAAATATCAATTTACTACGAAAAACAGAAGTAAAAAAAAATTACAGCGTCATGGAGAGAAATAAATTTGTTAGAGCAAAAAATGACTTATTATGTGATAATTTGGTGGGAAAACAGATTAAAATAAGTTACTGTTGTGAATCATTTTTCATTATTCATCGATGTAGCAAACAGTACAGCGATACAAATCACAAGTATATTTATTGTAGGTATAAAATATAAATATACTGCTAGTATAACTTATAATGTCAGTAACAACAAATATAACGACTAGCATTAGTCTTCATGATAGAAGAATTATCTAACAACAAATAAAAAATAATAAATCATTCATTTTGCCATACCAACACATTTGTTGTCACTATATTTATAAATCAAATTGTTACAGATACTGGTGGCTTATTAAATTAACAAAATTTTTTCTTTCTGTGCGATTTTTTCTTTCTGTATTTTCCATTATAGAGCTCCTTGATACTAATAATTCAATTTTTTTGTATAGATTCGGCAGGGATTACTATATCAACCAATCGAAGGTAGCCAGTGGAGAACGACAAGAACGGATCAAGTCGGCGATGTCCTCGATGTCGAGTAGACCGAGCAGCTCGCTGTCCCAGCAATCGAGCTGCGCCAGCGATGAACAACACGAACAACAGGTGAGTCATGACGAGCTCAAGCAATTTGAGGCTGCTTCGCTGCGCGGCAGTCTTCCTAGACGATGCTGCCGCGATCCCCTCGCCAGTCCACACTTCGCGATCAATCCTCTCTTACATCTGGAGTCCGCGAGCGATCAATTGCACCACGATGACGGTGAGCGAGCCGAGACTCTCGTAGGAAACGATGTTCGAATAATATGCTCCGAAGAAAAAGAAAGCAAGAAAGGAGACGTGAGGGATGATCAAGGATCTAAGAATTCCGTGGAGTTGAATATAGGAGCTATTTTTGAAGAGGACAGTTACGTCCTGACGGAGAGCCTAAAGGTCGACTCTCCGAAATCAATACCGATGGACTGGAATCGATTTTGGGACAATCACCAAGGAGAAGAGCCAATAGTACCGCGGTATGACATTCGTGCAGGATCGCCGGGCGATCGAGATGATCTAGGCGATCACGACTCCGGAATGTGCTCGATCGGTTCTCGCGACTCGGAGAACAGCGAACGCGATCGCTGGCGACAGTTGTTTCGCTTGGCGGATAATCTCAATGGTAATGGACAAATATCTTCGGTCGGCGGTAGAAGATTTTGGACTACCGGCGGATACAAATATCACACGTTCGGTGGCATCAGGATCCAACCGAAGAAAATGGAGAATCCCGACGATGACCTCGAAGATGAATCCATTTCGCCGGAGGATCCGTTTGAGGATTGCAGTACGGAATTTGCAAAATTGAAGTTTCAAACCTTTGGCGGAATTAAAAGAAGCAGGAAGATCGACAGTAGAAGAATTCCGAACTACAGGAGGATCCGATTGAGACCGATCCTGCCGGAAGCTGCGTCTGTCGTTCCCAGTCGCGATCTTGTTGAAAAGAAAGGATCGATGAATCTCAAATTGTACTCTAATGTCGACTCAGGAAATTGCAATCAGCCAACAAATTGGAATCGTTCCGTAAGTTTGGAAGGATTCGCTAGTTTTGAGCACTCAACATATTCCACTTTCGAGGAGAGCGACTGGCAGGATGAGAAAAATGATGTCACGAATAATCGGATATCCATTGGATATCCGCAAATTGGACGCAGTAAAAATCGAACAAGCACTTCCAGAACTAACTCCATGACGAAACGCAAGACTATGATTCGTAAGAAGAACATAAATTCGTCTTCTCTCTGTCCGAATGAGGACGATGAGTGGCAGGATGAGATCGATTGTGCTTCCGACGAAATTATAATGAACAAGTTCCTAAAGGATGTCTCGAGGAGGCGGAAAGCGAGCGTATTCAACAATGACAATATCGTAGCGCGAGGAAGAGAAAGATCTAGAAGGCATCGAGAAATTCTTGAAGATGATAACAGCGAAAAGTTAAAGAAATCGATAATCAGAAATACTGAAAGAGATCTAAAAAATTCAAAGGAATCTCAAAAAGAAGAGAATGATCATAAGAAATTGTATGTGAGAAGTTTGAGTGACATCACGATATGGTGATGATAAAGAGAAAAGTTGACTTGAAAATGAAATAAAAATCGATATGGAAGAATGTACACGATGTTAATAATTATGATGTTATTGTCATAAAGAAGTATCGCGAGAAGTATAGAGTTATATACTTCAACAGAAATAATCTTAAGATGTCTTTGCCATATTATATCTCAAAATAAATTTTTATTTTATTTTTATAAAATTTTCTTATCACGATTGATAAGAAAAGGTGGGAGCCAATATACTTCAAAATGAATTGGTTATTATGGAATCCATTATATTAAAACACTCAAAAATGAAGAACTTATGAGATTTTACTTTGAAACAACGCGAATCTTAGAAATTCAGAATGCGAGCTGCAGTGTGATAATTGGTGGATCCAGCTAACGATTGTAAAAAAATTATTAAGAATAATTTATTAATTGTTATAATATTATATGTGGTTGATGTATATTTTTTTTTCGATATTATAATGTACCTGAGAAAATGCGAATGCATTCTTGCCAATATCGTGGCTCTGTGGCCATATTCTTCGAGATAAAAGTATCACGGCGTAATGCGCTAATATATTATGTTATATACAGGTCGATTAAAAGTGCATATTTATAATAGCAAATGGCTAATAAATACGGGTATATAAAAATCTGAGCTTTCGTCACAATAATGCCGACCTTCCGCTCCTAAACAAATTTCTTAATTAGATGTCCATTTTTTATTATTATGTTTATAGATAGTTCTTAATTTAAAACGCTAAATTAATATAATTTCTAATTATTAACGCAAAACTAATATAAATTAATAATTAACTTAATAATCAGAATTAATATTTACATTACCCGTTCAGACATAAAAAATATTACACAAAATAATCTCATTAGAAGATATTTTCATGAAAATTATATTTGATAATTAAATAGATACAAAATTGTTGAAATCCTAGAAAATAATACATTTATCTAACACGGACAATTTTGTATATATATATCTCATATTGAACTGAAAATCTCAACTATTTAAGTAATTTAATTGAGCAGGTAAAAATTTATACCTTCGCATGTAACATACAGGTGATGGTTACTACTTGACATTAATAACATATAAGAATTATTGCGCAGTAATTCACAAATTGTGTGATTCTATTTTAGATTTCTTTAGTATCAAATATTAAAGAATATTTATATTATACATTATTTATAGTATATTATTACATATAATGTCTTTTAATTTTCTTTTCGTTTTTTCTGGCATATATTTAAAGATATAACGCGAGATTTAAATTATATTTTCATTTTTTTCAATGAAAAATCACAATTATCAAATGAATTATTTTAGAAAATTTTGTTATAGTAGAACCTACCAACTTCTTCATGATTGCTTCAGAAGTTGTAATGTAAATAATAATTACAATATTAATACCATACTTCTCGACATTATCAAACGAATAGATTATTATATGAAATAGATTTGCGTCTTCATATTCTGCATTGTATAGTTTTTATGCAATTGAAGACACATGCTAAAAAATGTTTCGAAAGAAGAAAATCGAATTTTGTTCGCATGCATTAACTATGACGCATATATAAATTTCATTTCTGTACATTTTTTAAGTGAAGATGTCAATCCAAGACATATCTTTAATCGACAATTCGAGTTATTTACTATTGGAAATGCACACATCACGCTTGCACAAATTGCACATAGAATGTGATCTAATTTGCATCTACACATTCTCGATATATCGCGTATACTACTCGATTCGCGTTAACACAATGGAATCGATTCCGCAATTACGAACTACGAAAGAGAATATTTTAATCGGTAAGTACTACCTATCTACAGCGTATGTGATGACTAACAAATAATTTATATATATATATATATATATATATATATATATATACGCTCGAAATGTAAATCCTAATATTTCTCGCAATTTTTTGTTGCCGTATCCTTCTAAACCCCAATAATCATATAGCAATTAATATGTACATTACTCATATTATTTGTAAAATTTATGTATTTAATAATTTCTTTAAATCCGTACTAAAATTAGAAGTACTAATCCGTAATTAATCCGTACTAACATGTTTTATACATTATTCATAAGTTTCACCATCTCATCAAAAATAATGCTTCACTGCAGTATTAATCATGATGAATGCTATTCATATATAATCATATTAATAAACAATATTGCATAATTAATTTGCAATGTATAAAGATTACATAATACATTAATAAAAAGGCTTTTTGAACATATTAATAGAAACAGCTTATTCTTAATTTGCAAAAGCGAATGCATAAGTGTGCTTAAAACATATTAGTCCGTGCTGCTATTCTTCCAAATTTTTTGTGTAAATAAGAAATGAAAAACTTCGATATTCTCTAATATAGCACGTAAATTGTTATACTCTTCTCTAACACTCAAGTTCGAAAATCTTTTCATCAAAATTTACATATTTGCGTAAAATTTATATATCCCGTATTAATATTGAGAATTTAAATTTGAACATCTTAAATACACAAAAAGAACATCTTAAATACACAAAAAATTTGAATCCGTTAATAAAATCGCGACTGATATGTATTGAGCAAAAAAGTGTCCATGATTAATAATTATTGTCTTTTCTTTCAAAATCGATAATATTATAGATCATCAAAAATTGTACTAACCAATATTAATATTAAAAAATTTTTTTATTTACAATATCACTATTAATATTATTACAGCGTTAAATATTAAATTTATATTAAGAATATTGTCATTTATATTAAAAATATTACATCAGACAATAATATTAATCGTATGACAGTTTCATGAGAGAAAAAAAGAAAGGTAAAAGGAAAAGGAACAGGAATTTTGTGACTCGCAGCATGCAAGAGAAAGTAAAAAAAAGAATAACATTCAACATACAACATAAATTACGCAGTTTTCGAATGAATCCTACATTAAATCGGTAACATCAGTCGATTCTTCATATGTTCCAGGAAGAACGACTACCTATGTCTAAAGAGACCAACGATAGTATTTCGATCCTGCAAGAAGATAAAGATACGAAGATGCCGGCCTCATGGCGCAAGAACAACGCCGAGATAATTAGTCTCGAAACGAATAATCACGCTATGAATTCGCGTGTTCCCGTCGATCGTCAGAAAGTCAAAAGCGAGAAAGACACGCCTGATGAAACGACGTGGAAGGACCAACAAACGGACGACATTCTGGAAAATCAAAGAAAAAACAACAAAAATGAGATTAATGCCAAGCTTAATAATCAGGAGCAAAGTATCGAGGCTGAACATAAGGACGACATGGAGCGAAAAGTTCGGAAGATCGACTTAAAAGCATACGGTTTCGAGAACGAGTTTTCGGATAAGAAGAAGCCTCAACAAATCCGCCAACAAAGAATGGTGAATAGACTGGATCTGAGCTCCTTCGGCTATCAAAATGGTCTGCGTCGCGCTCACTCCAACAACCAATTGGACCAACCATTACGGAAGAACGACAAATCAAATTTAACTAAACATGAATATAAAGAATATCTGATCGACGTGCCGAGATCATTCGGCTGTAAGGATTTCGAGAAGAGCTCAAGAGGATTCAAGCTGCGGGACGAAGTCGAGGAGATAAATTCGCGGCTAATATCCGTCAAATCGATGCCAAATGTCGCTGAAGACGTATGTTATCATGCGAATCCGGTTTACGTGAACGATGCGCAGGATGAACTGACCGCCATAAATCTATTGGATCTCGTGAAGGAACGCGATGTGATCATTGAGGATGACATTTCGCTGTTAAACGATTACGATGAAATCTCGTCCGACGTCGAAAGATCTTTCGAGGATATATATATTATGACCAAGGCTCAGTCTCGAGAGACGAATGAAGAACTGCGGGTGATGCCTTCAGTAAAAAGACTCGCGGAAGTGTTCGGCAGACGACAGACTTCTGAAAAGACTGCCGTGCCCGCGAAAGTGTACAGAGCTTCGGTAACTAACGAAATACCCATTTCATTTCAGTTAGATTTCAGTTTAGTCTTGGATTGATATCGAATTTCGATGCATTTGTTCGGAGCAAGAATAATATGCGTTCATAATTCATAAAAATAAAAGATATACATAGACAAATAACTAAATAGATGGATTTATTTAGAAACAAAAATAGTAGTAAATGTCTACAAGTAAAATATTTACCAGAATTTTCAAAATTTGAATGATTACAAATTCAGATGAAAAAGACCTATGAACTATAAAGCCTGCAGGCTTCTTGCTCTGAATATTTAATTTATTGCATAAATTTATCGGTCACAGTAATTAACTAAACTAAATTGTAATACAATCCCAAAAATTATGACATCATATATTTGACAGATTAATAATATTTATTTGAATAATTATTCATGATACAAATATTTATGAATATTTATATTTTTAGCCTCAGAAGCTTTAGAATTAATATAGCATTTTTTAAATAGGCATCATACAATTCATACATCAGTACAATTTGTATATTGGATCAAATCGATTTTCTATCTCTCGCAGGTGGCGAAAGTAGATGATGCCAAGGATAGATCGGCTACTCCTGAAGTACAGATAGTTGAAACGCCCAGGCAGATGCACAGTTTGACAGCCAGATCTCTTTCGAGGGAATTTCGGGAGGGTTTACGTCAAATACCCGGAAAACTGACATCGCTACCAGTCAGTCGATCGTTAATAGAAGAGCGACCTACAAATCGAGCAGAAATCGTGCGATCGAAACAAGAGAGCAATGACACCACCGTAATCTCACCTGGCAAGCTCAAATCGAACATAATATTTTGGGAGCAAATGCAGAAAAAAAGTTAAACAGTATTTTCCCATGAATTCTTAATAATCGTTGCAGTATTCTGGTATTTACAAGACAGAACGAAAAGTTACGGTCGCGAAATCAATTTTGTATATATGTATATGAAAAACAGAGATTGGAAATTGCGCGATCGCTAAGAAAACCATGGCTTAGTACGATAAAATCAAATCAAGAAGTTAACTCGAAGAAATATATAACTAAATAGTGTAAATATAATTATTGTGGGGTTTAATGGCAAATAACAGTTACTAAAATTACGGCGACAAATCGCTTTCAGTCAAAAGAGGATTTATTGCCAATTTCGCAATTCATTCAATTTTGTATATTTGTAAATGATTTTTGTACGTAGAATTTTGCTCAGTTTCGAACTGAGTGAAAATGTGGAACTATTCAAACTTCACGCAAAGTCAAGTCAAATGTGACATTTTAGAAACGGCATTTATAAGAAAAGATAATTGCTACTTAATTAAGAGTTAAGTAATTTGCATTCATAAAGTTGCCAACGTTGCTATCCTTGCGAGCGGCAAGGGTGTGTTAATGTCTGCATCAAAAGATAGTTCCTTAGGCCGGCCACACACGTTCAAATAAACTTACACAGGTATGCTTACGCGAATCACTTGTACAAGTTTACTTGAACGTGTGTGGCCGGCCTTAGCGTAAATTAATTTTGAGACATTGTAACATGATAGGATAATTTTTTCGCTGTAAAAGCGATAACAGGAAGATAGCTTTATATAGAAGTGTAATGAAATTCGTGCCAAATGGCATCGCGACATGATATGTTGATTGCCAAAGAAAGCATTCGAACATCGTGTTCGAGATGAGAGACCAGGTTAATCCTTTCTGTCCTGATTTATATTACAGGAGCGTTTTTAATTATAAAAAAATTATTCTTAAATTTAAAAAAAAATTGTTGAAAAAAATAAAAACGAATTTTCTAAAAATGTGTACATATTAACTTTTTTGTTGAAGAAAAAAATTGAAAGAAATGTAGTTATTACAATCACGTTGTGCTACAAAGAGCCAAAAAAGAGTTAACCCAACGCGTTGCCAATCGAGGGAAATAATTATTTCATAACGTAGATTTTAAGATTTTGCGAGCGTTTTGTATATTATTACAAATACGAAGATATATTCATGTAATTAAATAAATTATCAAGGAAGAAAGAATATTATTCTTGATTATTACCCGTAATTAATGTGACGAAAGTAACGATTTCAAATTGAATCGTTTTTTTAAATTTACTGATAAAATTTCGGCGATTTAATTCGCACGTGTATAAGTAATAAATAAAAACATTAATAAATTTATCAGCAAATAATAATTCATCAATTTCGTGTAATCAATCAAATATGAAATGTGTACTTACACTTCGTAGCGTGATTGATCAAACCTCGTGGCACGATTAATGATTGACACTACGTAATACACTCTCTTTACTAATATTAATCACACGATACACGCAACAAAAGAGGAAATACAGAAAAGATACGATTGCACGAAGTGATAATTTGCCCAGCATTTCTTACAAATTTATCTAATGGATGAAATTTAAATGAGAAGTTTTTAAATCACCAATGTATATAAAATATCAAATTTAAATTATCGGTTGATAAATATTAAAAAATATAATTAAGCACAGATGAGATTAATTGGAAATTAACTTATTAATTAAACAAAACGCGATGATATATACATGACCCAAGTTTTGCAATTTGCATTCGCCTGCGAACAACATCTCAAAGAAGAATAAGATACGCGAACTATGCGGAGCGACACGTCCCACGTACTACCGGTCCGTTTGATTGTAAATGATAACGCGTTGACCTTGCGTACAAGCAACAGACTATTAACCGAGCGTCGCACAGGCTGAGCCCCAATTCTAGGAAATGACGCGGTAATTTAAAAACAACGAAAACAGTCTATTCTCGTTACAACTTATTATTAACACGCATTTATATGGTGACAGTGGAACGCGTGTTTTCGAGCGCATTGCTTATTGTAACGATCATTTTCTGCAAATGTATGTATCTCATACTAATTTACATTTTTATTAATCACAATTAATTAATTCTCTCAATCCATAATTTTATCAGTCAAGCTAATTTATCAAATATTATGCGTAATTTGAAACAGAAATAAGTGCAATACAATATAACAGACAAAATTGGAATATTATAAATTAATTTCGATATACGCGAGTGATATAGTTTTTTTTTTGTGTTTGTCCCTTAAAATTAAATCCCTTCAAAGTGCGGGATAACATAAATCATAGAGTAAAGTAATAACGTTAATTAACACGCGCCTTTCCAAGATTGATTTACGCGTACAAAATTACGAGTGTATCATTTAATTTTCATTTTCAGGCAGTTTCAATTCCAATTAAATGTACACTATTTAATTAATCTCGTGATGTGAGATGAGTGTTTAATTGAAATGCATAATTAAAAGTTGTGAAAATTAATCTTCATATTTTTTGGTCGTTAGTTAAATGTTACCGATACCTACCGAATGAATTGTCATAGAGTTGCAACGCGTTTAATTAGAGAGTATAGTGATAATAATTAAAGAACTCTATTTTAATATGTATTTATTATTCGCAATAATTACTCATTTATCAACTGCGTAATATAAATTCGATAATTATTTATATTATAAAATTCAGAACAGAATTTTATTAATAATTTTATGTATCACGCATAATATTAGAAATATTTATAAAAAATTAGATTACATAAAATATATAAAATATATACATATATAATATATTAATATATTATTTTATATATATAATATATATATATATATATATATATATATATAATATATTAAAAAAATAAAGTTATTAATTAAGAATTGTTTTGAAATCTTATGTGAATTATAGATTATCTAACGGACTTAAAAGCATGAATTTTATGTAATACTGTTGATTTTCTTCCATCGTTTGTAACTCGAAAATAATCAAAACTTCGATATTTTCATAAGAAAATTTTCGATTTTAATTATAACACTCTTAGAAAATTGAAGATATTCTGTATATTAAAAATAAATCGTGACATTAAATCGTGATATTAAAAATAAAACATGCAAGGATCTACTAGAGATTGTAAGTCGAAAAAGAAATTAAAAAATGCATGTGAAAATATTTTAAGGGAGATAAAGAAATTTAATACATTAATAATATCGATATCAAAAGAAAATGTTATTTTATATGAATTAAATAATTATCGTTATGTCTATGTTAATTATGTCCATAAAATTCAATAAGATTGACGTCAGAAAAAAATAAAAGACATAAACATTTACAAATATTGCTTAAAATTAAAGTACTCACATTAATGGCCTTCTCAATAATAATATTCAATGCTTCGAATCCTAATTTTCCATTAGCTTCCTTTTGAATACCAAAGCGAAAAGTTCAACGTAGATAACATGAATATTCAATCCGCTTTGCGTAATATTTCTTGCGTCGTAATACGTATAATCTGGATGACGCATGGTAGTAAATCGCACGAACTTGTTTGAAATTTCGTAGACGATGCCATCCTCCTAATTCCATATTATACAACGTGTCATCTATATGAATCAATTAAATTGTCTAGTTTAGTATTTTCTTCGCAACGGAAGTTTTGGCGGAAATTTAAATTTTATTCGCATTAACATTCCTTATATCGCATTTGTAAATCACGAGAAAGCTAAAATTATTCACTATAAATTCACTATAAATATCGGATATCTAATATATATCAATTTTAGAATATTTCGCAATTAATAGTACAACTGTAAACGTAGTGATTAAGATTATAAATATCCAAGTAATGTAGTGTTTAATTTATCCAAAATAATTATTTGACACAGCATTGCAATCAATATGGTGGCAAAAATTTAATCCAGTCAGCAATCCAGTAGCAAAAATGAGCATTGTGCTGTCAGATTTTATACTCAAAAACGATTTTAATATTTTTATATAAAAAAGAGGATATTTTAGGTTAAATTGTAATACAAAATAAATTGTATATTTAAATACAAAAGTAAAAAAAAGAAATACATTAAAAAATCCTAAAAACATAAAAACATGTATTTAATATTAGCCAAAAACTAATCACTAGATCATTATTAATTTATTATGTATTTATGATAAAAAATTTGAAAATTATTATTATATTATATTTTAACAATGTGCGATAGGCTTAATAATTTCTCGTTTTTTTCGCCCTCTTTTTTTCTCTCTCAAAATGAGAATAAAAAATTAGTGTACTCTCCGGACACGCTAAAAATCCAGTCAAACATTCTCGGATGCTTTAAAAAAATAGTACATGCTCGGAAAAAACCGAACGTCTGAGTAGCGTGTAATTTTTTTCCCTAAGGCAGAAATATAAAAAGTGAAAATTTTTTGCAAATAATGTGTGTATGACTGTGTTTCAAAATTTACTGCCAGTACCAAAAGTCTATAGTTTACGATTACTACAGATATTACAGACTTCATTGTTTTGCCTTTCGCAAGAAGAAATAAAGTCCCGATATTCGAATATTCGAATCGACTTTCGATTCCGCCGCGCGTTTCACTTAACCTAACCGAATATGAACATATTTCTCCCCCGAAATTCGTGAGAATGTCGAAATGTCACGGATCATTCCGACATTTTTTAGAATAAAAATAGAGAGAACTCACATTCAACACCAATATTTTCACCGTCGTCTTCCTCAACGACCACTTCTCGCGCTTTGGCGATGTGCCGCGCCATCAGCCACTGCATTATGGGCACAGAATCCATCGTCATGACGTCAAGTTATGTTAGTCGTCGATCGTTCTGTATTGTTAACTGCTTCGACGAAACAATGATCTTCACGACCGTAGACACGAATGGAAGCAACATGATGTTTATTCTTCACCCACGTCGTTTATCCGTCCGAATCTGTCACAATCTACCATTCGCGCTTATCCAACACCGCCATAATAACATTCCACTGCACTGGACTGCATTTCCGCTCCCGACCTTCCAAGTTCCATTTCCGTACGTTCCGTCGAACGACGCTGCGCATCCCGCTCTTTTAAGGCCACAGCACAGACTATTGCATAACGCATAACGCATAATGCATAAGCGAATCAACTAATCAGAATCTTTCATTTCCTCTTATTCCAATGGAAAAGAAGAATTTCGATTGGTTGATTCCTTTATGCATTATGCATTATGTGTTATGCAAGAGTCTGTGCTGTGGCCTTAAAAGAGCGGGATGCGCAGCGACCATTAAAGGCTGTGTTTCAAATCACTGCAAGCGCTGAAAATCTATAGGCTGTGTTCAGCGAATTCAGTTGAGTGAGCGCTCGCTGTTATTGGTGTATTCTTTTAGATTATTCAGAATTTTAAATCTGGAAGAATACATCAATAGCAGCGAGCGCTGAATCAACTTTTGAATTCGCTTCGAAACCGCCAATGCTTCGAAGCGTTTAAAAATACACAAAATACATTTTATATTACAAAAATTGGCCTGTCAACGCTGGAAAGTTGGATAGAAACTTTAGCGTCCATAGGTAAAATTACATAGAGTGAATACGAACACTAAGAAAAGTAATAACTAAATTATATTCAAATTCAATGCAATGTGAGTTTTGTTGAATAAGCATCGATTTAAAAATACCAATTGAAATAAACTAATGTATAACTACATAATAACTATTTAAAAAATAGGTTAAACTTCTTATGCGTTACAAATAATACGTTGAACAATTTTATACTCCCCATCTCTAAATAAAAGACGTAGAAGATGCAAAAGAAGAAATAATAGGAAGTTAGGATAATACACAAATATAAAAAGAGGAATTATAAAGAATTAAATCCATTTTTTTTTCTATTGTGCAATCTCAGTCTTTTTAACTATCTATTTTTATATATTTTGTTATATTTCTTTCATAATATCCAAAAATAAAATAGTATAAAAAGTGAAATAAAAAAAAAATATATATATATACATATATATGCATATATATGCATGTACACACACATACACTAGTGTACATGTATATACATAGTGTATATGTATATACATATATACACACGCATTTCAAAATATAATTATGTAATTTTTTATATTTGTATTAAACAACAATTTTCATCCAAAATTGACAATCAAGTACATAATAATTACGTTTAGAACAATATTGTTCAAAACAAGTCGATAATTTGATATTGTATAGAATTATACAATATTTTATTTTATTTTTTTTTTTAATTTTTTTAATTTGAAATGCAGAAAAAATTATTAGAACAGAAAAATTATAACTTTTGATCAAATAATTATATTTTGAATAATTACAAAATGTTAAAGAAACTTTGTACTAAAAAGATCTTTAATAAAATTTTAAATGAAGAAATTTTTAGCAAAATCTTTTACTAAAAGAAATATTTTACTAAAAGAATTATTTGATAAGAATCAATTCTATCAATCTTTGAATTATTATAGTAAAATGATTCGTTAATTAAAAATAATTCATTAATGATTTTACAAAAATATACGAAGGACAATTTTTGCTCAATGAACACAAAGTTAACGTTACTATTAGTTATAATTTGCCACTCAACAATTGTAATATAACATATATAATATATTTCATTTTACAGTTATATTGTTGAGTGGAAAAATTACAACAGGTATGTTACACATAACTTGTGTTCATTGGGTGTCTTGCATGCATCAATCACTCGTGAACTCACGGTGATGTAATTGTTTTAATTATTCTAATTGTAATTGTTTTAATACATTGTAGTTCTAATATAGTGAAATGGTACTGTTTGCATCAAATAATCACTATTCTTCATTTGATAATGGAATATGAAATTATCAACTATTGTTGAAATATGAGACATCTGTATGTTTTGGACAGTCATGCATTCTTTGTATTCCGCGCACATTTCCCGTACTTTATCACACACCATTTGAACTGCATATATCAAGCAACATCGTATTTGCAATTCCTCTATATCGCCATGACATAACATACAATCTACGAGAAAATGAATAAGTTTTATTATAATACAAACCTTCCATAATAAAAATTAATTGGGACTAAAAAAAGTTTTCTCTACCCAAAAATTTAAATTTACACACAATATGTAAAATGTCAATAGCCAATATATTGATAAATTCATGTGAAATTATAAAATTCTAATAAATCTTCCTTCAGTAAATGTTAAGTAAATCATAAATAGGATAGATCATATAATGCTTGTTGTTAAAAAATTACTTTCTAAATACATACAATACTATATTGCATTGCGACAATTTTTTTGCATGTTCTACAAGTTAGAAAATTTTTTATATCCATTAGTCATGAAATTCTTTAAATGGAGCGAATTCCATTCTATTCCTAACAAATAGAATATTTATCATTTATAAAAAGTGATTTTAAAAAGTGATAAATATCTTACTTCTCAAAAGAAGCTGGAGATTCTCTGTATAGCGAATAGCTCCAAAATGTAAAAGAACTTGAACCGCACGGTAATCCTTTAATAATGTAGATGTCTTTATTGAACTTTTTGAACTAATAGGAAAGTAAGTTTGTAAATCACTTATTAATAATTTGGCCTTAGTATAGAGGCGAACTAAAAGAAAGTTGAATAAAATGAATTTATTAATACAATCTATGTAAAATATTATTTAAATAATTTTATTACAAAGGGATCATATCATTATATAGCAATTATTATTTCACAGGTATATTTGAAGTTTAATTCTTATTTTATGAACTTCAATTATTCTTAAGACAATTCAAATATGTCCAAAAACACAATAAATATTTTGTAATGCTTGCGTTCAAATATGTCCAAGCATAATAACTTCAAATATATTAGTTTAAATGTCATATTAAATTAAATATGAATGTATTGATATAAAAATTCTGTGAATCTATAATATCGCATATTGTTGAATAATATAATCTCTAAGCACAAGACGTTCTCAGGATGATCTTGAATACAGTGAGGACATATATAGGATATGTGTAGGACATTATGAAAAATACAAATTTTATTTAATTAAAAACTAATAAAAACACTTCTATAACATATTCTAAATACCTAAGAACGTTCTGTGGATTATCAAATAAGCGTCATTATATTCTATATACATCTACAGAACATTCAAATCCGAAGTTCTAAAATCTCTGTAATCCTTGGGATCTATTTTTGAATTTTTCTAATATTCTAGATCTGCAACTAGGTGGTGTCGTTTCATTTAAATTTAATCATAATCTTTATATATCCAAATTTATGTAAACTTAGACATGTTATAATTATTTGTATTGAGTTTTCGTACTTCGAGCGAGATATGATTGTATTTTTTGCTTCAACAAAGCAATGAATCTAGTAATATTTTGTAAAATATTTCAATCTTGCAAATTCAGCATACTTTATCCGAAAGATATCTTGCGATTGTCCTTAAGATATGTTTAGGATATCCCTTGGAGACCTATGCTATATGTGAAGTAATAGAATTGTCCCAAGGATCACAAAATGCACATATTTACGATTTTTAATTTGGATGTCCAAATAAATGTATATAAGACATAATGAGGCACTCATTCCATAGTTCAGAGGACGTTCTCAGGACGTCCTATGAATATCCCGTTTAGCTGGCAAGACATCTCTATGGTATTAGAGATAATATAACAATAATTACTTGGTTTTCCACGAAACATTATTTCATCTTGATAAGACTCAAATTTAAAGAGTATTTTCATCAATTTATCTGCATCATATTCAGATTCTCTTATGCAATTTATAAAAAGACCTGCAATATAACAAAATCTTTTAATTGGTTCACATATTACGTATTATATATACATACATTTATAATATCTATTATATATACGTATTAACTGTCCTGCAATTAATCTCTTTCCTTTGATAGTATCTATATTTTTGCAACGTTCTTAAAATTTTACTAATTTTTTCATTATTATTTTTACGTTTTAATATTTTATACGTACGACATTTATAAATACTAATTTTTGTATAATTATCAAAAATGTATAAATGCTAATGCATTTATGATCGTATAGTTTTTCTTTAGTACATTTTAAACAAGGAGTTGACTCTCTCTTGAATCAAGAGTCTTGACTTCTCAGTCAACTTATAGTCGACTTTCAGTCGATTTCATTGATTGGGAGCCAATTTACAGTGATGCCGACTTGGAAGACTAACAATCGACTATTTTCGAGAGAACATTTGCCGAGAGTCGACTATTAATCGAGCTGACTTCAAAGTCGACTCTTGACTTCTTCAACATGTAGTCGACTTTTAATTACTTCGTATTGTTTGGGATATTTTATCAATATAATAATATAATATTAACAGAGAATTTTTCCTTTCCTCGAAAAAGAAAGTCTTCAATTGTTTGCATAATAAACAAAATTATTATAAAATCGCACAAGAAATCAAGAAGTAAATCACGAAAGAAATCAAGAAGTAAACATCTTTTTTCGGATACAATATTTCTCTAATTATACATACCCCCATATTTCTTCTTTAAAATTTTTCCGACGCGATGCAAAATAATACGTCTTTCTTCTAAATACGGAAGGATAATTTCATCATCTCCTCGAAAAATGTATTTCATCTCCGTCGGTGTAATGGTCATGTAATAATTGGGATCCCAAATTAATTTATTATCCTATCTCAAAAATTATGTTACGTAATTAAGAAGTTGCTATATAGAAATATAGATTGTTTAAATAATTATAAAAAAACACAATGTGATATATTATACTG